CAAACACTGCTCATTTTTTTCATCTACAGTGATTAGTCAAACAAACCAGAGCAGCAAACAAAAGACAGGTTCATTACTAATTCAAGGCCATTTGAAGATTTTGTTTTTATTATACAATTCATTCAGTTCTAGCTAAAATTAAGACATTAAAAATTTAATCATAAACTCATTTGAAACTAGAAAAAGGAAAAAAACATGGTGAAAATAAATTAAACCAAAAGGCTTTATCCAAAATTTTGGGCAATAGTCTTCATTAGATCACCTATTGAGACAAGTAAGATTTAGTCCTGTTAACACGTCTCATTTTGGAAGAAATACAATTTGGATCCAACTGTCTTTTGTAAATCAGTGAGTCTGCATTACACTCTCATGACTAAACTTCTAAAATAAAAGCTATAAAATCTTTATTTGTGTGTGTATATGTATGTGTTTAGGCATGTTTATGCATAAGTACATAAATTATATGTTGTGTCTGCATGATAAAATCCGACAGTCAGCCAGAGGTCTCTTAAGGAATTTTATTCAGATTGGCTTAGAAAAATAAGCATGCAGATAAAATATATACTAATTAACCTAAATGCCTTTTAGTTTAAGTGATCTAAGTAATAATAAAGATCAGAATCATAAATAAAATTGAATTAAAAAAATACAAAAGATCAACACGTTTTTTTTTTTGATTAGTTATACAAAATTGACAAACCTTTATTCAGACTAAAAAAAAAAAAGAGAGAAGACTGAAATAAAATCAGAGATGAAGGAGACATTACAACTAAACCACAGAAATTCAAAGGATCCTTAGAGAATACAATGAGCAACTATATGCCAATAAACTGGAAAAACTAGAAGAAATGGATGAATTCCTAGGCACCTACAGCCTACCAAGATGGAACTATGAATAAATTCAAAACTAGAATAGACAAGTAACAAATAATATGATCAAAGCCATAATAAAAAAAAATACACCAGCCCAGTACAGAACCCAATGTCTTCACTGCTGAACTTCAGCAATTTAAGTAAAACTAATACAATCCTACTAAACTGCTTCAAAAAATAAAGGAAGAATACTTCTAAACTTATTCTACAAGGTCCATATTATTACCGAGACACTAGCTGGGGTGGCTAATGGAGTGCTTGTACCACCCCTCCCACAAACACAGGTAGCACAGCCAGCAGTTCCAAAAGTGAGCCCTTCCTTTCCTATGAGGAGAGGAGAGGGAAGAGTAAAGAGAACTGTCTTGCATCTTGGACACCAGCTCAGTCACAATATGATAGGGCACTGGGCAGAGACATGAGGCACCCATTCCCAAACCTAGCTCTGGATGACATTTCTAGACGCTCTCTGGGACAGAAAGAAGCCTGCTACCTTTAAGGGAAGGACCCAGTTATGGCAAGATTCATTACCTGCCGACAAAAATGTCGTTGAGCCTTGAATAAAGAGCAATGATAGCCAGGTGGTATAGCATGGAAATTGGGTAAGAGCTGAGATGTGCTGGCTTCAGGTGATACCCAGCATACTCCTGGCTGTGGTAGATAGAATGAGAAACTCCTCATTCAGCTTGAGAAAAAAAAGGAAAGACTTTGTCTTACGCTTTAGATACCAGCTCATATGCAGGGGTAGTGGAGTTGGGGAAGGGTGTAGGTAAAGCACCAAGGAAAATCTTGGGGTTGTGGATTCTTGGTTCTTGGACAGGATTTCTTGACCTGCCCTAGGCCAGAGAAGAGCCCACTATCCCACCCACTTTCATGACTGTTGTTCACGATATTGTAAGTTCTAGCTACAGCAGTAAGGCAAGAGAATAAAATACAAGGCATCCAAATTGGAAAGAAAAAAGTCAAAATACCTTGTTTGGACATAATGTAATCTTATATTTGGAAAAGCCTAAAGATTCCACCAAAAACTATTAGAACTGATATAAAAATTCAGGAAAGTTGCAGGATATAAAATCAACATACAAAATCAGTAGCATTTTTATATGAATAAGAAATCAAAAAATAATGCCAGTTATGTTAGTCACAAATAAATAAAATACCTAGGAATAAACTAAAGAAGTGAAAGAGCGCTACAATCAAAATTTTAAAACATTGATGCAATACATTGAAGAGACACAAAAAAATGAAAATGTATTCCATGTTCATTGAATGGAGGAATCAGTATTGTTAAAATACCCAAACTGCTACCCAAAGTAATCTGCATATTCAATGCAATCCCTAACAAAGTACCCATAACATCCTTCATATAAATTCTTTTAAAAATTCAAAACTTTATATGGAACCCCAGAATGCTCAGAATACCCAAAATGCTCCTAAGCACAAAAAAAAAACCAAAACTGGAGGAATCACATTATGTGACTTCAAAGTATACTGCAGAGCTATAGTAAGCAAAAGAGCATCATACTGGCATAAAAACAGACACATAGAACAATGAATTAAAATAGAGAACCCAGAAATAAAATTAAACATCTACAGTAAACTTCTTTTTGACATACATGCCAAGCACATACATCAGGGAAAGAAAAGTCTCTTCAATAAACAGTGTTGGAAAAACTGGATATTTGTATGCAGAAGAAAGAGCTCGGTCACCATATGCACAAATCAAATCAAAATGGCTTAAATAATTAAATTTAAAGACCTAAATTATGAAACTACTAAAAGAACACATAGGGGAAACTCTGCAGAATGTTGGACTGGGCAAAGATTTCTTGAGTAATGTTTTGGAAGCACAAGCAACCAAAGTAAAAATGAACCAATGGAAACATATCAAGTTAAAACGCTTATGCACAGCCAAGAAAATATCCAACAAAGTGAAGAGACCACCTACATAATGGGAAAGAATATTTCCAAACTATCCATCTGACAAGGGATTAATAACCAGAATATATACAGAACTCAAAAACTCAATGGTGAAAACTATTAAAATCCAATTAAAAATGAACAAAAGATCGGTATAGACATTTCTCAAAAAAACACATAGAAATGCCAATCAAAACTACAGAGAACTATCATCTTACCCCAGTTAAAATGGCTTTCATCCAAAGGACAGGAAACTATAAATGCTGGAGAAGATGTGGAGAAAGGGGAACTCTCGTTCGCTGCTCGTGGGAATGTAAATTAGTACAGTGTATAGAAAATAGTATGGAGATTTTTCAGAAATCTAAAAATAGAACTACCATATGATTCAACAACCCCGCCGCTAGATGTATACACAAACAAAAAGAAATCAGTTTAGTGAAGAGATATCTGTGTTCCCATATTTACTGTAGCGTGACTTAAACTAGCCCAGATTTGGAAGCAACCTAAGTGTCTATCAACAGACAAATGGATAAAGAAAATGTGGTACATATACACAATGGAATACTTCCCAATCATAAAAAAGAATGAGATGCTGTTATTTTCAATAACATGAATGGAACTGGAGGACATTATATGAAGTGAAATAAGCCAGGCACAGAAAGAAAAACTTCACATATTATAACTCATTATATTGTATGACATAACAATAACTAAATTCCCTTGTAAATTTCTAATTATAATGAACCTCCATCAGATAAAAATAACTATGACTTTTCTAAGTCTCTGTCATCCAGTTATTGTTTGGAATTCTTCTATGAAGTTTTCTGAAATCAGTTTCATGGAAAGGCTCTAACAAATATTCTTAAGAACAGGTTTCTAATTACTTTAAATGGGCTAAATCAAAATTTTCCAAAACGTTAATCAAGAAACTGGTAAGTTCATTAAACTCCTAATAAAGATAAAGCAAAAGTGGAATTATTTAAATTTAATTAAATAACTGATGACGCAGTGCCTTGGGAGGCTAGGTGGGAGGATAATTTGAGGCTGACAGTTTTATATCAACATGGGCAGCACAGCAAGACCCCATCTCTACAAAAAATTTTAAAAGTTAGTGAGGTGTGTAGTGCATACCTCTGATCCTACCTGCTCAAGAAGGTGAGGTGGGCGGACCCCTGGAGTTCAGGATTTCAAAGCGGCTGCAGTAAGCTGTGACTGTGCCACTGCACTCCAGCCTGGGCAACAGAGTGAGATCCTGTCTCAAAAATAGCTGACGATAATATTTTTATGTATTTGATTTGAATCAGAGTTGATTCCTTTCTTTTTCGTTGTTGTTGATTACCAGGTTTAAGGAAACTTCTCTAAAGCTAGCTATAGTTTACAACAATTTAATAAAATATGCTTTTGTGAACAAAGTTGAGAACAGTTGTATTTTACTTCTTTCAAAATTCATGAGTAGTATTATGGCATTATGGTTATTTACATAAGTTCAACTAAAAATTCCTCTCCCTTTACAACAGGACACAGTTTAAACCATTGGTTATATTACCAAGGCTCTTACTGAAATATCATATTTGAGAATGTGCATAGAATGCTTGGTTTTAAGAGTTCCCAGATTTACAGTGAGTGAGTAAAAACTATCACTTCCAGGCAGGCCCAGGAACCTTAAGAATGTAGGTAAAAATGTGAAGTTGGCCTTGGTCCAGCTTCCTAACCTTAAGAAGTGATATGACTTGGCTCTGTGTCCTCATTCAGATCGCATCTCAAATTGTCATCCCCACATGTAGAGGGAGGGACCTGGTGAGAGGTGACTGGATCATGGCAGTGCTTTCCCCATGCTGTTCTCATGACAGTGAATGACTTCTCATGAGATCTGATGGTTGAGAAGTGTTCTCATTCCCCCCCTCTCGCTCTCTCTCCTGCCACCATGTGACATGTGCCTTGCTTCCCCTTCTGCCTTCTGCCATGTCTGTAAGTATCCTGAGGCCTCCCAGCCACGCAGAACTGTAAGTCAATTAAACCTCTGTTCTTTATAAAGAATTACCCAGTCTTGGGTATTCTTTATAGTAGTCTAAAAATTGACTGATACAATAGTTTTTTTTTTAATCTGAGATATCTACGTAGTCAAATCACCGCTCTTGCAAACAAAATTTGATAAAACTAATTTTACAAATTACCTTACTCTAATTTTCTTCTCTATATTTTTCATTTAGATCATATACCTACAAGTATGCAAAAGAAAATAAACTAAAATTTATCTACTCAGAGAAAAAACTATCTTGGGACATTTTCTTAAAGAAAACAAGTTACAGTGAAGGTGTTAAGAAAATGGGATAATAGAATGAGTGAGCTTCAGCTGCTGCCCAGGAATCCTGTGTCATGCAAAGTGGTGGATAATAAATGAATAGTGGTAAGACACTGAGATGTTTATCTCCCCTACTTTCTACTTTCTCTTTTGCAACTAGACATCCCCTTGGATATAACTGCAGGTGACAGTAAGATGAGATTCAGGTACAAGTAGCAAAACTCCAGCGAGTTGTAGAGGAAGTTGGGGGGAGGAGATATTTTCTGGCGTTTTGACAGATAACAAAAGGGTTATATTAACCAAATGCCATTGGTCAAAAAGCAGGTAGACTACATTCAACCAATGTATCATATTTGCAAAATAAGGAGAAATAGTAAACACTGTGTATTCTTAAACACTAGTTTTTTAATGATTTCTTTTAAAATTGGTAAATCTATTTTTTTGTTTTTAATATATTTGGATTGTATACTCATCAAGTAAAGTTCTCATAATCCAAAATCATTGACAATTTATTAGAAGATATGGACAAGGATAGGGACAGCTTCCCAAACCAAATATGTAAAATTCAACAATGTTGTTTGACAGTTCAGCCATTTGGAATAAAACAAATCATGCTATGGTTATAATGTACGTACAATAACAGGGGGTATGAAGAGACCTGCCTCTTTATGTGTCAATTACCCTGAAATTCCACCATTGGAAAAATAAGTATCCATTTTCATATTATCTGTTTTTAAAAATGAAGTGAAATGGTTATGTTGGTGTATTTCTTTTATTTTATAATAATTTTTAAAATATAATAAGATAAATACCCCTTTTTGTATATTTCAGAATTGTATTTAGTTTTTTGGGCATTTATTTTTCCGTATGAATTCCAACATAGTTTGTCATATTTTGTGAAAGAAAAATCTAGTTATGATATTGATTGTAAGCATATTGACCTTGTAGATTAATTATGAGAGTACTGACATTGTTTTCCTTATCCATCTTTCCATTTACTTGCTCAGTTTATTAAGGTATTTTTCTATTAATTTTTATTTATCTTTGGTAATTTTCTCCTTTTCAAAAATGGACACTTTCAGTTGACATCATTAAATGAAATATTCAATTACAACTGGATGTTTCTAATACAAACGGAGATAGTTATTTAATACATTCTTCATTTGATTCTTATGATGTTTATATATTTTAAAAGGTTTTCCTATCACATATGTACACTTACTTTTGTGCTAGAAAGTTCTTGTTCAAATGAGATTTGGGGAATTCAAATACTTTAATGATAAAAACATCATTTATCAGAACTAATCAATTCCGAGATAAACACTTAAGATGCTCTATTTAAAGAAAGGGTACAGGAGATGATACTGTATATATTCTTTTGAAACTTGCCTTTTCCTCTTAGCAATACACTATGGACCTTTTTTTTAACACTCATGACAAATTCTACATCATTTTAAAGTTTGTACAATATTCCATTATGAGTCCCTTGAAAGATTTTTGATCATCAAAATTTCTATAATCAAATACAAAAGACTGCGGGAGCAAAAAATCTTCAATCATTATCAATGAAAAGTTTATCTTAGTTGTAATTATCAGATTTTTATAATTATGACTCTGGCTAGGAGTCATTCTTGGAGAATGCTACTTAAGGTAGGTGCCTAGGCAAAGGCAGAGCAGGAACACAGCACAGGCAAGGAGGTTAGGAAAGGGAGCCAAACAACAGAATCCACTTCACTGTTTCAACAAGGAGCAACTTCACAGAGAGAGAGCATAGATAGGAGCATGGAGCTGACCTAGAAATGAAGTACCGCAGCAACGTGATGTTACAGCAGGGTACACAGTCACCCCGGTTTATGTATCTCTGTTCAAGAATTTGTATACTTAGAAGCTGTTGAGCATCTAAAGCATTCTGAAACTCTCCTCCAGTCTCAGTTTAACAATGTGAGCTGGCTTCCAGAGATACACAGATTTATCCAACTCACTCCCCTTCTCCTTGCATTCTTCTCTGCATGCCTTATATGTCTGGTGAAAGAAACGGAGGAGGGTATGAACAGAGTCATAGAAGGCATTGCAAAGGTCACGGTTGCTAACCTTTATCTAGCATTAATAGGTGCACTTTATATCCATTAACTCACATAATTCTTACACCACTTACAACAATGCCATGAAGTAAATGCAATAGTCATTGTATGCCATTTTATAATTAAGTGCTTAAAGACAAACAGCCAAATAAATTATTTGAAAGCATATGTTCTCAAGTGGCTGAGCCAAGCTGCCATCTAATTTATTGCCAATTAATTTATTCAACAAATAGTTGCATGTCACCCATGTTGCAGGTGTTATGCTAGGTACTGAGCTGAGAGTAGTGAACAGCAAAGTTCCTGCCTTCATGGATCAAAAACTCTGGTGGGAGAGGTCATCAATAGACAAATAAAACTATAATATGTCATCTAAAGTTAAGTCGTGCTAGGTACCAAGAAGAAAATAAAGTGTGGTATCCCAAAAAATAAAGAAAGAAATGCCCGAAGACAGAGCTTTCAAATGCTGTCAAATGCTGTGCTGTCTCATAGAGAGGGTAAAATTTAGCTTCCAAAGTGAACACTGTGAAAAACATGAACAATGTGAGTGAATATGTCTTTTTCAAGCCACTAAAACTATGCGAGGAATATTCCTGAGGAAGAACTTGGTGAGGAATGAGAGTGGATGGTAACCAGGGCCAGATCAAGACGGGCTATAGATGCTGGCTACAAATTCGGGGTTTACTCTCAAGGCCAGAGAATAAATACACTTAGTATTTTTAAGGAAATAATTGACATAAAAAGAATTGCATTCTAAAAACAAACCTTTAAGGGCCAAGAGGAGACTTGATCGGAGAGCCCTGGAGATACAACCAGTGATGATAAGTTATAGAGAGAGCCAGAAATAGTGAAGGTTCAAATCAATCCAGAGGCAGTGAAAACAGAGGAGATAAATCTGACTGCTATTTAAAGGAAAGAATAGCAGGAGTTGGCAACTGATGTGACGCAGGTGATAAGGCAAAGAAGGAGCAAGAATGTCTTCCAGGCTTTGAAAACTACATAAATAGCAATGCCATTCACCGAGAGGCCGCAGCATCAAGAGGAGATAACATTCAATTTCAAAAACGTTTAATTTGGAGTCATGTATAGAATATTTGTATGAATGTGTCTAGTATAAGTATGGATTATGGAGATTTGAGCTAAGGAAAGAGATACGTATATTGGAAATTTAAATGATCTAGCAGTATGTTATCAGCTAAATGTTGGTAGCACCCCCTAGCCACTATTTGTATGTTGAAGCCCTGGCCCCCCATTATAATGGTATTTGGAAGTGGGACCTTTGGCAGGTAATGAGGTTTAGATGAGGTCATGAGGGTGGGGCCCATGATAGGATTAATGCCCTTTTAAGAAGAGACACTATATGCTTAAGGTTACAAGAAGTCAACGGTCTGCAAGCCAGGAAGAGTTCTCACCAGAACTCAACCCTGCTGATTCCTTATCTTGGACAGCCCAGCCTCTGTAACTGTGGAAAAGTAAATACCTATTGTTTAAGCCACTCAATCTATTGTACTGTGTTATGGAAGTTGGAGCTGATCGGTACTGGGTAGTTAAAACCAGGGAAGTGAATGACATCAGCTAACAAAATTGTGTTTAAGTAAAAAGACTTGCACAAGAAAAAACATCTAGGACCATTAAAACGAAGAGAAAGCTGAAAAGTTCATGAATAAAACCAAGTAAGAATGATCAAAAGCACAATAACAAAGATTTGGAGACAGGGTCATAGGAATCATTCCCTGTCACCCAAACATAATATGCTTTGCGTGGCGTCACATTCCCAACACTGTAGCACTATCACAATTTAACATCTAGAAGCCAAAAAAGTCTGAAATCTAATGAAACAAAAACATGACAATTTAGGAAATTAGCTTTGGTAAACATAAAATATGTTTAATTTGATTTTTGATATTATAAACATTCAAAGTTTTACATCAAGGTAAACTAAAAAGAGTGAAATGCTATGAGTATATTCACTTGGAGACATTTATCTCTAATTTTTCATATTGTATCCCATCCTATATTATTTGTTTTGCTTGATACCTCTGCAGAGTGGAAGGTGAAAAGTCAGTAGCAAACTATTTTGGAAACCAGAGAAAAAAATACTTCGGAAAGAAAATACAATCAATATTTTCAAATGCCATAAAACAGTTTTCTGGTAAGTATTAAAAGCAGCCATTAGATATAATACTAAAAGGGGATTAGCAGCCTTATAAAGAACCGTTTCAATATTGTGCTGGGAGGAAGAAATGATCTGTAGAACAGTGAAATTAAAGTAGATTCAGTAATAATTTAGTTGTGAAATACTCCAGACAGTGATACAGAGAAAGACAAAAATATCCAAGTATCAACCAAATAGAGTGAAAAGAAGCAATAGACAGAGAAAGATGAAGGAATAAAAAGGGTATGGTTTTTTTTTCATCTTTTTTTAATATTAGAGAAACTAGTATATATTTATATGCGGAAAGGAAATGAAGAAAAAAGTGCTGTGGGCTCAAGCTGGCAGGCCCTGCCTGGTGAGGAACAGTGAAGGCAGGGCCACAGTCCATCTACTCCAAAGGAAGCTATCAGCAGAGTAAACAGCCCACAGAATGGGAGGAAATATCTGCAAAGAATACATCTAACGGAGGTCTAATATCCCGAATCTATAAAGAAAACTTAAGCAATTCAACAAGCAAAAAACAACCCCATGAAAAGGCAGGCAAAGGACATGAACAGACATTTCTCAAAAGGTGACATACCTGCAGCCAACAACCATGGAAGACGTTCAGTACTACCAGTCATCAAATAAACGCAAATCAAAATCACAATGCAGTACCATCTCACACCAGTCAGAATGGTTCTTATTAAAAAGTCACAAAATAACAGAGGCTGGTGAGGCTACACTGAAAAAGAGATGCTTATACACTCCTGGCAGAAATGGAAATTCATTCAGCCACTCTGGCAGGCAGTTTGGAGATTTCTCAAAGAACTCAAAACAGAACTACCATTATGCCTAGCAATCCCATTACTGGTTATATACCCAAAGGAAAATAAATCTTTTACCAAAAAGAGACATGCACTTGTATGCTCACTGTAGCACTATCCACAGCAGCAAAGACGTGGACAACTAGATGCCCATCAATGGTAGATCGGGTTGAGAAAGTATGGTACATGTATACCATGGAATACTGGACAGCCATTTAAAAAGAATGAAGTTGTTTTATCCTCAGCAACATGTATGCAACTAGAGTCCTTTATCCAAAGCAAATTAACATGGGACCAGAAAATCAAACACCACATAGTCTCCTTATAAGTGAGAGCTAAATATTGGGTATACATCAACATAAATATATGAATAACAGATAGTGGAGACTACTAGAGCAGGGAGAAAGTGTGGGGAGCAATGGCTGAAAACTGTTGGGTACTATGTTTCACTACCTGATTGACAAGATTAATTGTACCCCAAACCTCACCATCATGCAATATACCCAGGTAACAAACCTGCAAATGTACCTTTTGAATTTAAAATAAAAGTTGGAATTATTTAAAAGCAGGAACAAAAAAGAAACGAGTGAAAGGAAAAGCAAGAGAAAGAGGATACTTTTTTGTGAGATGGCTTAGGAGTAGGGTGCCAGAACTCATTGAGAAAGTATTAAAACTTTGGTCACTAGGGGCCAGGATATATTGAATACTGATGAAATAACTCAGTATTCAGTATATCCAGGACCATATATAGGCCATGAATTTTTCCAGGACCAGATGTAGACCAAGAATTTTAGTGGATATTTTTTCACTTAATGGTTTTTATTTTCCTCCATGTAGAAAAAGGATAGGTGAAGAGTTAGTTGTAACAATGAGTAAGGGCATGTGTAAATAGTGGTCTTGGGAAGGCTGAAAAAGCTGTCTGGGTGCATGAGTGACAGAGCTAACTAGAGCCACTGTGGCAAGCAGAATTCCAAATACAGCTTCCTTGTGATTTATTTGCTCTGGTTGTTCAATCAGATATGAATCTTGGTACCCCTGTGAAGGGATTTTGCAGATATAATCAAAGTCCAAGTCAGTTAACCTTAAGATAGAGAGATAATCTGAACGGGCCTGGTTTAATCAGACGAGCCTTTTAAAATCAGGACGTTTTCTGAGTTGGTGGCGGAAGAAGTCACAGATATCTGAAAGCATGAGAAAGTTTCAGCATGTCATTACTGACTGTGCAGATGAAAGGGGCCACATGAAGAGAATTGCAGGCGATCTCTAAAAGCTGAGTCACTTCAAGCAAATCGCCAGCAAGAAAGTGAAGTTTCAGTCCAACAACTGCCACCAGCAGGCTTCTCCAAACAATTTTAACAAACTTGGATGCATTTTTTTTCAAAGCCTTTAGTTCAGAGACCAGGTTGGGCTTCATGAGACTCTAAGCAGAGAGCTCAACCAAGCCAGCCGGAACTTCTAATGACGAGAACTGTGAGATAATATGTAGGTATTGTTTTTAGTGATTACGTTTGTAGTAATTCATTACACAGTAATAATAACTAATGCAGACATATTATGGTGTTTTTCAGATGAAGCTGAGGTCCACTGATCTATATTTATCCCGAACAAATGGTTTTATCTGGGATCCCTCATCTGCAAATCAGTAACAGTGGGGAGCTGGATTGATTCAGACTTTAAGTGTGGTAAGTGGAAAGAAAGGACAAGGTGAAGAGGTCGAGAAACACTAAAATGATGGAGTTGGATTTGTCGCTAGCTAGACAAAGAATACGAGTTAAAAGTGAAATGGTAGAGAGTAAAGAAGAATGATATTTTAAAGGACTTTTGCTCCATAAATCAGTCTATCTGAAGAGCAGGATAATGAGAGTGACATCTCTGGGAAAAAGAACAGGGTGCTTACTACCCTTCAACAATTCAGAAATGAGACAATTATTTGTGCAGCCTTAGATTTAAAAAGCTGGTGCAGAGTAGAGGGGAGGTGCCCTGGGCTTATGAAGTTAAAACATCACAAGGCTTACATGCTGTAAGACAAGGATCCCGAGGTCTCCTGCTGGTTAGAGAAGAAGACAATGGTACAAGTGGTAAAGGGGTGAAGAGTATTTCTAGCTTCAGGAAAGAAGGTGGCAGAGCCTAATGAAATGACTTTGAAAGAAAAAAATTTTATTGGAAAAGTGAAAGAGCAGTGATTTATATGTGATATAGGAAGCCAGAAATGTGGTGTTTCTAACTTTGGGCTTTTAGATGAATGAGAGAGAAAAGGAGTGGCCTCTCTCTATTCAAGAGTCTTGCAGGAAAAGAATGTCATCCTCAAAAGAGACTCAGGTTCCTTTTAACACAAGAAATGAAGAAAAGTACTCTATGAAGCATGTGAGGGTATAGTTAAATACAGAAAAAACTTTAGAGGGCTAGAAGGAAATAAAAGGTAAATTAAATGGTATTCAATACGTTTGTTCTTCTGTAAGCAAAATTTATGGAAATTCTCAATTCAAAGGAAAGAAGGATGGAAAGTAGGAGGGAGAGAGAGAAGGAAGAAAAGAAAGAAAGAAAATATCCAAATTTCTGACTTAGAATTAGTAATATTCCAGATGGAAAGTAATTTTGCAGTAGATCCCTTCAGATATAGACAAATGGAAACTTACTGTGGTCGTTTTAAAATACGTCCATAAATTATTTGATACTCCTTTCTTGAAAAGGTAGAAACTCAGTCTCACTCCACTTGAGCACAAGCTACACTTAATGACTTGTTCCCAACAAATAATCTATGGCAGACGTAGTGGTACATGGCTCCAGAGACCACGTCATAATACAAGGCACCATGGCTGCTTTTATTTTGTTTGTTCTCTTGGATCACTCAATCTGGAAGAATATGGCTGCCATGTCGTGAGAAAACTCAAGAAACCATGTAAAGAGGTTCCTGTGTTGAGAAACTGAGGCCTCCAACCCGCAGCCATGTGAGTGAGCCATCTTTGAATACAAGCCTCCAGCCTATATTAAGTTTCCCAGATAGCTGCAGTCACAGCCAACAGGTTGAATGTGACACCATGAGAGAAACCAAGGGACAAACACCTAAACTGCTTTTGAATTCTTAAAACTCAAGAATTTGAGTGTGTGTATAGCTATAAAAACAGTATGTGATAATTACATTTCTTCTAATCTTTAGGTTTGGAGGTTGCTACATAGCAATAGATAACCCACAGAGTCAGAAAAGGTATATGGTGATACTTTCGAGTTTCCAACGTCAGTGTATGCTTGGGAGAAAGAAAATCCACAAGCCAATTAGTCTGGGTATACAACAAAATCATTCCAAAGGCATTCCCTATCAAATCTCATCTCTGAATGATGACTTCTAACGTTCTTCTCTCACCACAGTCTGCCATTCAAGTCTGTATCACTGGCACCCCATACAGAACTCCACTGCTAAATTTATCTTCTAATTAGGCCAGTCTTGAAAAATGCACTTATAAATGTATAGTGACGCTCACTGTAACTTCTTACATTGAGGTTCAACATTTCTTTCTAATTTAAAGGCTCTCAATTTCTAATGACCCACTCAACCCATCTTGCCCTGTTTAGATTTATTTTCTATTATTTCTAATACTAATCCTATAAACCACACAGGCCACCAGATTCACACATCAAGGCTTTTGTCAATTCTATTTCCCCATCTCTCCCATGCTATCTCATTCAACCACCCCACTAACATCTACAGCTCAGCTATTCCTCAAGGCTCACCTCAAGTTCTTGCTTCTTTAGAAGACCTTGCCAACAACATTTACCCATAAAAATCTCTCAAGTCAAATTCCTATTTCACTTACGAATGGGGTATTATAAAACAATGATAACTCATAATTGGATACTATCCTGCCTCTGGTGGTTTGTACTATATAACTTGACATTTAACGATGTCAGTCAGTACAGTGATTCACTGGGGTGTATTATATTGCTTTGTTCACACAATGTTTCCTATGTGTCTGTTCCCTAATTATGTCATACATTCTTTTACTGAGAATGATAGATCACACTTTTCTTCTCTATATTTTCCACATCATCTCGGCTAGGTATATATAAGTCAAGTAATTGCTGTGCTGTTACTCTATGTTGGGTTTTTCAGAGACCATTATTTTCCTCTTCACTTACAGCCAAGGCACAGAACTAAACATTTTCAAACTCCTTGCATTTAGAAGGGGCTCTGTAACTAAGTTCTGGTCAGTAGAAGCAATATATGCCACTTCCAGATATGTTTCATAAAAATCTCACACACAAAACTTTTCACTCCATCTTCTGTTTTTGCAGCAATCTGGAAGGTCACTTAAAGATGATATGGCATCATGAACTGCATCTCTAAGACACCGCTTAGAGGAAACACACTCTACAATGGTACCCAAGCATCTGCCTTCCCAGGAATATCTGGACTGGATTAATTTGTGGGCAAGAAGGAACTTTTATTTGTTAAGCTCCTGAGATTGTGATTTTGTTTACCATAGCTGCTAGCATCAGTTATTTCATTCAGAGATGGAACATGAAAATAAATAAGGCCCTACACTTGAGGAGTTCAAAGTTTAGGTAGGCAATTGGGTTTAAAGAATAAAAAAAGTTTTAAGGTTTCCTGTTTCTAAACTCTAATTTACCATTCTAATAACCTGGGTCTCGAAATTGAAGAAGCCACAATCAGTAACATTTTTGTGTTTGTTTTATTGCAAATGTGGTTCTATATGTCAATCAGAACTAGACATGTATTCCAAAAATTGATACAGGTAGTCATAAAGCTTTATTAAAATTTATCACTGGCTGGGCGCGGTGGCTCAAGCCTGTAATCCCAGCACTTTGGGAGGCCGAGGCGGGTGGATCATGAGGTCAACAGATCGAGACCATCCTGGTCAACATGGTGAAACCCCGTCTCTACTAAAGATACAAAAAATTAGCTGGGCACGGTGGCGCGTGCCTGTAATCCCAGCAACTCAGGAGACTGAGGCAGGAGAATTGCCTGAACCCAGGAGATGGAGGTTGCAGTGAGCCGAGATCGTGCCATTGCACTCCAGCCTGGGTAACAACAGCGAAACTCTGTCTCAAAAAAAAAAAAATTATCACTAGAAATACTTGTTTTTATTTGGTAAATGTGACTTGATTTCACTATAAAAAAACTAATAGTCTTTTCATCTTTGTTAACTATAGGAGATTGGTCAGAGTGGTGGGAGAAACTATAGGGAAAGGAACAGACCCTGGCCGACCGATGGATGAAATGAGTACTCAGACACAGGTATGCGGTGTAAGAGCAGGTAGGGGACTGCTTGACTCTAGTGGTCAAAGTGTAGCAGCCCAGAAAAGCTGGAGCTGCTTAATTTTATTCACTGCAGGCACAAACAGGCCACAAAGGATGCAGTCAAGTGCAAGGTTATGACCCTGATGTCATAAGAATAACCTTGAGTAAAAAACAACTAGAAGCTGTCCTGTCCCTATATCTAGACCTTCAGATAGCACTCTCTGATTATGCAGGCCATACAGAACATGTCCTTCCGGCTGATACACTACTCCAGTTCTTAGCTCATATTCCTGTAGTTATGCCTAGTTCACTCCCCTAGACCTAACGCTTTAATGCTTTTTCCTGATGGCTCTGGTAAAAATGGAACAGCAGCTATCTGGTGGGAACTGCATAGCTCTCTGTTGATCTGAATTTACTAGCACTCAGAGAGCTGAAGTGGGAGCCCTAATATTGACTCTGAAAACCTTTCCGCTCCCCATCAATACTGTTAGTGACTCTGCTTACTCCATTTTTTTATTGCAAAAGCTTGAAACAGCTTTCATTAAGTTCACCCTTAAATCCAGCCTATGTGCCCTTTAACTTCAGCAACTGCTGATCAACATATACATCCTATTTTTATTACACACATTTTGGCCCACAGCTTGTTGCCTGGTCCACTGGTGTATGGCAGTGATCAAACAGACCTACAGGTTATGACGTCACTGCTTGACCACGCCACCCAGTCACATCCATTTTCCACCAAATTTGGAGGTGCTTAACTAAACACTTTCAACTTACCCAAAGACTAGCTAAACCAATTATCCTGCAATGTCCAGACTGCCGCCTCACAGGCACATCCCCTCCTTCAACACGTGTTAACCCTAGAGAACCAGCAACTAATAAGTTGTGGCAAACCGATGTCACACACATCCCTGAATTTGGAAAACTAAGATATGTACGTGTATCCGATGATATCTATTCCCTCCTAACTAGCACACAGGCTCTTCCTGGAAAGTAAGCCCAATATGTTATTAAACGTCATCTCTTAACTTTTGCATTTATGGGGCAGCCCACAAAGATTAAAACTGATAATGGTCCGGCTAACACCAGCTCACAATTTCACCAATTTTGTCACACATGGGACATCCAACATTCCACAGGTATCCTGTACAACCCCCAAGGACAGGCCATAGTAGAACATGCCCACTCCACACTTAAAAATATGCTCAGAAAACAAAAAAGTAAGGACCTTGCAACACTATTGGCAAAAGCCTTATTCACCTTTAATATCTTAAATCTAGATAATTTTAATCAGTTATAGAAAAGCAATTTGTAAAAATCACTCAAGATATAAAACCTTTGTTTCTATGGAAAGATGTGAATAGTAATGTCCAAAGGATTGCTAACTTGGGGAAGAGGATACACTTGTGTTCACACCCCCTCAGGTCCTCTTTGGATTCCAACACAAAACATCAAACCTTTCCATGGTGTGGCAAGGACGAAACCCAGTACCACAAATGAAGGAAATGACCCTGCAGGACTCGTAGCCCTGGACACTATGGCTTCCTCAGATGACACAGGCCCTGGACATTACCTGGGGGATTCAGAAGAAAACTCAGAAGGCTGAGTGAATCCTGCTCCAGACATAGACGCCATTCTCTCCAGATGATTTGTTCCTTGCTATGCTAAGTGTTGTACATTGCAACTCTTGTTGTGTATTAACCTTTCTTATTCTCTCACTCTGCCTGCAGCCTGCACCTGCACCTGCTACCCTCTACTGGGTCCATCTTCTAGATCCACCTTTTTTCCGCCCTGTTACTTGGGCAGACACCCCCTTCCCAGTCTCTAACAATGTGACTGATTGGCTATGAGGGATTAACCTACCCCTGGTGGGGTTCACCAATAACAGCCCAATAGAACAATGTACAAAAACACATCTCCTGGATAGACCCCCACTCCTGGGGGTCACTCTTTGATTGGAATAGAATATTACTGATTATGTTCATGTTTGTCATGTTACCTACTGGGTCTAGGATGCAAAGCTGGAACACAAACTGGAACCACTGCACTTGTCAAGCCTGGTGCTGTACACATCTGTACTCTTCAGTTAACAAAACCTGATGGGAAAAAAAAAAGAAAATGGGGAGATTCAGGAGATCAGTCAGAGTGGTGGGAGAAACTATAGGGAAAGGTGCAGTCCTTCTGGAAGGTCAGAAGGCTCTGCAAAGCTCTGGGGAGAATCACTGAAGGCAGTTGTATAACCCTGAGGTGGAGGGCAAGGAGTAGGTACAAGGGAGTGTAGGGGAATTTATCTTAACAGGCTTGTTTACTTAATGTTGCCCAGGAACTGACAGTCCATTATCCCTGCAAGTGACTGCTCCAGAAAGGGGGAACAATAAATGTTAATTACCTGCAGATTGCATCTGCCTCAGGCTTTCAGCATTATGCCTACACTGAATAAAAGTAAGCAGCTCCTGCTTTTCAGGGCTGCTGCACTTTGGCCACTAGAGCCAGGAGTTCCTCTACCTGCTCCTACACCACATACCTGTGTCTGAGTACTCATTTCATCTGTCGGTCAGCCAGGGTCTGTGGGACAGACCTGGCAAGTAACATTGCTATAAATGTCTATCTGTATCAATGTGCTCTTGCATTGCTATAAAGAAATACCTGAGACTGGGTAATTTATAAAAAGAGGTTGACTTGGCTCACAGTTCTGTAGGCTGTACAAGTATGGTTCCAACATTTGCTTCTGGTGAAGGCCTCAGGAGGCTTACAATCATGGCAGAAGGGAAGAGGAGCCAGCATATCACATAGTGAGAGGGAACAAGAGAAAGAAGGGAGAGGTCCCAGACTCTTCTAAACAACCAGATCTAAGTGAGCAAGAACTCAATTATCACCAAGGAATGGTGCTCAGTTATTCATAAGGAATCCACCTCCATGATCCAGTCACCTCCCAGCAAATCCCACCTCTAATACTGGGAATGATATTGCAACATGAGATTTGGAGGGGACACACTTCCAAACCACACTATCAGTGCATATGTAGCATGTTGTGAAATAAACTAGATGATCCTGCAGATCACACGTTTTCATGGTGATTTTCCTATTCTGTTAACTATTTGTATTACATGATTAAGCAAAAAATGATTTGACTTTTAAAAATATTAAACGTTATATTAGTCCATTTTCACACTACTATAAACAACTGCCCGAGACTGGGTAATTTATGAAGGAAAGAGGTTTAATTGACTCACAGTTCTACACAGCTAGGATGGCCTCAGGAAATTTACAATCATGGTGGGAGGTGAAGGGGAAGTAAGGCACATCCTACATGGCAGCAGAAATGAGAGAGAGGGAGGAAGGAGCTACCACTTTTAAACCATCAGTTCTCATGAGAAGTCACTCATGATCATGAGAACAAGGGGGAAACCCTCCCCGCTGATCCCATCACCTCCCACCAGGTCCCTCATTCAATATGTAGGGATTACAATTTGAGATGAGATGGGGACACAGAGCCAGACCATATTAAGTGTTGTTGGTATTAAGCAGTGTTCTGAGGTCAAACTTTTTTGGAGTGTATTCTATATGCTTTCATTTTTTGAAAACTTAAAATCATTTTGAAATGGGTCCTCTTATTCATGTCAGCTTAGTGGTGACAAGGGCAGGCCTACAAATTAAATTTGTCCTTGATCAGTAGGAAGAAAGTGAAACTCGGGACATTTGAGATGCAGCACATACCTGCTGTAGGCTGGCATATGGCTGTCATTGGTCTTACACTGGGGAAAAAAAAGAGACCAGGATTTTTATTTTAACCTTGAATTAGCATCACCTGTGGTATTGGTGGCTTATCTAGTTCTAAGAACACTTACTAATTTTAGGTAGAAATAACTTTTCTATTTATTAAGAGTCAGGAAAGCATAATTTTACTCTCTTCTGTCAGAGAAGGCTAACATATTATTTAAAAGGTGATCTTTAAGCATGCAACGCATTTAGTCTGTGTCACGACAATAATTCCATGCCACAGATTTAGCTCTAACAGTGCAATTTAATAACCTATAAGAATTTATCAGATTTGCATAAATTGTAGGTTATATGATCAATGTAAGAAATTTAAAAGAATTTTTTACTGTGATCCCAGTTTTAATTGCTATGTTTTTCTTTCGATTCAATTCTCATTCTTTTGGCTGTTTAATTCTTTTTCCTAAAAGACCTACTATCTTTATAGTCTAGTGTCTCATTTTCACGTTCTAACATTCTTTGATGTGCTCTATAATCCTCTAATTGCAAAAGTACTATATGTGTGTATGTGTGTGTTTATGTACATACACACATATGTGGTGCTTTTCATTGCTGTAATTTTATTTCTTCTAAAATCCTTATATTCCATAGATATTTAATGTGTCCTCTAATTGCTTGTCAATGTGCCAGGTAATTGGATATCCAAGGTGAACAATAATGACTTTCTCTGATTCCATAGAACTTACCATCTAGAGAAAGAATAGACACTAAAAAATTATATTAATAAATACAACTGAGTTTTATGATGCTATGATTGTTATCTCAAGGAAGCATTTTATTTGACCTAACTAGAGAGATCAGAAAAGAGCTTTCCTGAAGATAAGTGTAAGTTATCTGAAGAAGGGGCAAGAACATTTTGGAAAACTGTAGCAACAAATGTAAAATCCAGTGGCAGGGCCCAGAAAGGGACCGTGGAGTTTCTGAAAGAGACACTCTGAGAGAAGGACAGAGAGTAGAGTAAATTTCAATATGAGTTGATACTAGAGCTGTCAGCTGGGTTCGGGGCAGGCAGGAGATAGCCCGTGTTAAGAAACTAAGTCTCCATTTTAAAAGCAACAGTAAGCCATTGAATAGTTTCAAGAGTGGGGTGGCATAGTTAAGAGTTCATTAGAAAGAAAATATATCTAGGGAGGTAGGGGAGGGAGCAAATACAAAGGTACCATCTCCCTGTTCAAATCACTAGTCATCCCTTTCTGAAGCAGGCTATAATCACCTCACAGATATGAATAAAAATCTTTTCTTGACTGTGGCATCTATTACCATCCACGCATCTCATAAATGAAAACGTAACTGGGTATCAGGCTCCCAGCTGGTATCCGAGTAATAGGAAGCCATCTTAAGTGGGTAGGGAGCAGCATGTCCCAGTGAATCGAAGAATAGTAAATTTCCCCAAGAGAGCTATGGATCATTGACCGAAAGTTAATGTTAAGCTGCCCTCATGCCTGGAAGCAGGTGCATTAGCAAGGCCTCATTCCTGAGCTTTCTTTGGATGTTTCCAACCCTGCTGAGCTGATGAAAATGAAGTCCTTAATTTCAACTATGGTCATTAACCCCCTACTTTGTGTTTTTACAAATCATTAACATGTCATTTGTGTTCACTTTAAAGATAGGCTTCGTGCTTAGGGACCTGGGGCTTCAGGGCAACGGAGACCAAGCATTGAAGGGGAAAATGCACGACAAATCCCCAGGACAAGGCTGTGCTGGTCACCTGGTACACGCACACACACACACACACACACACACACACACACACTCTCTCTCTCTCTCTCTCTCCCCCCCCATATATATATAACCAGCTGTGGTATTAGTGGCTTATCTATCTCTAAGAACACTTATTAATTTTAGGTAGAAATAATTCTTATATGTATTAAGAGTCAGGAAAGCATAATTTTACTCTTCTGTTAGAGAAGGCTAACATATTTAAAAGGTGATCTATATATATATATATGTTTGTGTGTGTGTATATATTATATATATGTATTTAAAAAGTGATCTATATATGTGTGTGTCTATATATATATACAAACACACACACACACCTTCTAATACATATATATAATCTCTGAATAATGCAGATGGCACTGGGATTACCTCTTGAACTATGAAAAACAAAAGCAAGAACACTAATGCCATCTAGTATGAGGAAGCACAGTTGCAATATCTGAGAACCATCACACATCCCGTAGCCATGGCACAGTACAGCGCCAGTAAGGAGGAAAAACAACAACAAAAACTCTAGGAGATCTCTAGCTACATTTCACTTGAGTGCAAAATGCAAGTTTAGGG